AAAACGATGAACAGTTAACAAGCGTTGACAAGGATGCAGGGAAACTGGAACCCCTCATATATCACTGGAAGAAATGTAAAGTAATGCAGTTACTTTAGAAAACAATCTGTCAGTTCTTCAAAAAGCTATATAAAGAATTACCATATGATCCTGCAATTCCACTCCTAGGATTATCCACAAGATAAATGAAGACATATGTCCATAAAAAACTTACACCGGAAAGTTCACAGCAGCATTACTCATAATAGCCAAAAAGTGGAAACAACCCAAATGTCCCTCAAGTGATGAACAGATAAACAAGATGTCATATATCAGTAAAACAGAACTCAGCCATAGAAAGGAAGGTCCAACACACGCTACATCATGGAGAACATCACACTAAATGAAGGAATCCACTCACAGAAGGCCATATATTATATAATTCCATTTATATGAAATGTTCAGAATAGGTGAACTCGAAGACAGGAAGGAGATTAGTGATTGCCAGAGGCTCCAGGGAGGTGGGAATCGGGAATGACTGCTGACAGTTACAAGGTTTCTTTTGGGGGTGATGAAATGTTCTGGAATTATATAGTGATGATGGTTGTGAAACCTTGAGGCTGTACTAAAAAACAAAAAAACACTGAACTGTACACTTTAAAGGGGTGAATTTTATGATATGTCATTTATATCTCAATTTTTTAATAGGAACACAATCATTACCATCTATCAGAAATACACTCTATAGACACAATGTCTTACTTTCTAATCATCTGAATGAAAAAATCAATTCACTGACTTCCAAGCAGCCTAGGAATTGTCAAAACTCTGATCTATAAAAAAAAAGGTTCAACTTGAGGAAGGGAAAAAAGACATCAAAGAGAAATACTTAGAATAAAAGAGAGAATGTGCTTTAGCAGTAAGAGCAGAAGAGTTAGAAGAACAAGATCAGAAGTAATGGAAAGTAGCCATCAACAATCCTTGGTTCGTACTTTCTATTTCCACTATTGTTGCTGGCGGTTGCCTTCAACTCTGTGCATGTATTTCCCAATGAAAATGGAGCTGTTTTCATCAATGTCATCAGTAATAAATGTCTTATTGTTCAATGAATTATTATTATTCTAAGAAGTCATCCTTGACCACTCCCGTCCCTAATCCCAACATTACAGGGGTTACCAAGTTTCACTAGGTCTCCTAAATATACAACCCTCTAATCTCCCCCACCTTTTCTATTCCTGGGTAAAGGCTGCGGCCTCACTCACAAAGGCTGTCTCCTGCCTCCAGTCTTATCCTTTCAGTCCTCTTGCCTCCTCTCTAAGCCATCAACTTCCCACCCAATCATTCATACAACAAATATTTAAGCCCCTACTGAACTTTCTGAAATAACTGTCTTCTGTATCCAACATAATTTATTAAAGCTCTGTTTGCAACAGAAAAAGATTGGAAACAACCTAAATGGTTCTCAATATTGAACTGATTAAGTAAATTGCAGGCAACCCATAAAACGGAAGATTAAGCAGTCATAAGGAAAGAAAAAGAAGGAAAACAAGAGGAAAAAAATAAGACACTTTTAATATATCGATATGGAGGGATCTCGCCAAGATAAAGAGGTAAGTGAAAAAAGCAAGGTGCACCCCAGAAAGCGTGGAATGTTCTCACTTGTGTAAAAAGGACATGTGGGGTGAATATAGATTCACTTTTTATTCTCTCTCTCTCTCTCTCTCTTTGCTTACATTTGCAGAACACAGCTCTGGGAAGATATTCAAGAAACTCATGCAGTGGTTGGCTGAGGGGAAGGTTATTATGTAAGTGGAAAATTTTCCACTATACACTCTTCTATATCATTTTCTTAAAATTTAAAACCAGGTAGCATACTCTATTCAAAAAAAAAACAAACAATAGAATGAAGTATCAGTCTGATTATACCACATTCCTGCTTAAATTCTTCGGGGAATCACCTTTCAGGGTAAAATAAAACCCCTCACCACCTCTCTCACCCTGGACTCCACCTGCACTTGGTCTCCCTGTGAATAACAGCAGTGTTCAAGGATGGCCTCCTACACAAGGCCTTTCCTGCCTGGGTTTCCCTCCACTGCTGGGTCTCAGGCCCCTCACCTGGGTTCCTCTGATACACACCTTTCTCTATTCTGACAACTGACATACAGTATGTACTTTAATGATGTGTTTTCACCTTCCCTAGATCCCACGCTCCTTGCAGACCAGAAGTAAAGTTTTCACTTCTCTATCCCCAGCTCCCAGCCTGGTGCTTAGTTCATGGCAGACACTCAAAAAGAAAAAGAAAAAAAAAAAAAGAAGGAAGGAAGGAAGGGAGGGAGGAAGAAAGAAAGAAAGAAGGAAAGAAAGAGAAAGAAAGAAAGAAAGAAAGAAAGAAAGAAAGAAAGAAAGAAAGAAAGAAAGAAAGAAAGAAAGAAAGAAAGAAAGAAAGAAATTTTACTGACTGAACAAATGATAGCACAAATATGCTAAAAAATTTACCATCTGAATTATTCCTAATAATAATTATAAAAGTTCTGTTTCTTTTATAACACAGTCCCAGACATGGACAGCATGTCTGCTGCATAATGAAGCCTGTTTATCAGACTCTGCTCGAGGACTGAACCAGGTTCCTGCATTATTCTCATTATTCTCCAAGTGTCTGGGACACAAGAGTCCTCCGTCCTTGGAAGAGAAGTCAGAATTTTAAGCAGCTCTGCAAAGAAGGAGAAAAATAGAAGCCTTCAGAAGAAAGCTTTGAGTGTAGTCTTAAAATGATTATTAAAATGATCTAATAAAAGGTTTCAGGTTTCATAAAGGATTTAAAGAAAAAAAGCTTCCCAGCTGCAGACAAGTAAGTCCTTTTCTGAGAACAGCTGATTGTCTCTCACCCTAAACACAAGGCCCACCAGGAAGCTGTGCCCAGTGTACCTCATGAAGTTTTACAATTATCTCATTTTTCCATCCCACTCTCCCTCAGGTGGTACCAACGACGCCAATACAATCACAACTTCCACTGTGGACTCCTGGCCTGGTTTTGTTTTTTCGTTTTTTGGGGTTTTTTTTTCCTTCTTCTTTCATTAGCCATCAGAGATAGCCAACCCTAATAAAACAAGTTTTCATTCTGGAGACTATAGGTAAAAATAGCCTGCATGGCTCTGAGTGGGCCGTAACGTCCCAATTTACACTAATAAAGTGACAGAGTCTCTGTCCCTCAAACCTAAGATGTCGTTTGAGTGAAATCCAGAGCATCAGGTCTCTCGCTCCACAGGACCCTCAGCCAAATAAAACGAACCATTTAATCACGTCTTCACTGAAGGTCCAGATTCAAACAATCCATTCCTCCTTGGAAGCAAGCTCGAAGCCCCTCTGCCACGCCACAGCTGCTCTGCGACCACTCAAGCCAAAAGCACAGACAATGTCAAGGTGACTCTACCATCACCAGAACCACACCTGGGCTGCACACTGCAGACAGGGGCAGCAGGCAGCGATAACGTTTGCCCCCTGGCAGCCATTCCCCCTTGTTCTTGTAAGAGCACCTGACATCCCTTTGAAGACCACTCCTTCAGCTCTCTAAGCATATGTGACCCAAGCGGAGCTAAGTGACTCTGCGCCCCTCTCCACCCCGGGACTCAGGTCGGGCCAGGTATGGCACTCCTCTCACTGCAGAGACGTATGAGCGCCCACGACCCAGTCAAAGTTCACCTCAGAACTTCTGCCGGAGCCATGAGGAAAGAGAAATCCTCTTTCTCTTCCAGCTCTTTTATCAGTAAGAGAAGGGACAGTACCTGAAACGGAGCCAACAGAAAAAAAGAAGAACCAAGGGCTATCCAAAAAGAGATCTGGAGATGGCGTCTGAGGCCTGGAGCCAGCTGTGTCTGAGGCTGTATCTCCTCCTGAACTTTCCAGCTATGAGAGCCATAAATGTCCCCTCCCCCACTTTTGTATCTCCTTAAGCCAGAAGCCTAAAGGCCCAGAAGAAAGCTGGGTGAATAACAAGAGAGCAAGCTCCCGGGATCAGTCCACACACTGCTGCCTTACCCACCTCTGCAGGGCTGATCTCCCTCACCCCTTCTCACTCCACTGCCTATGGGGACCTAAAGACAGAGATGCAATGGCATTCAAGTTCCTTCATGCCCTGGGATTTATGATTCCATTAAGCCTCGGTTGTCACATCTGTAAAATGGGGTGTCATGTCTCAAAGGATTCTCAGGAGGATGAGATACAACAAAAAGAATATTTCCCAAAGGTTTCTTTAAAAAGGTATCTGATACCCTTTATTCCCATGGCAGTTTCTCAATACTATACCCAGCAGAAAAAAGTAACAGGCCGCTCCAGAAATTGCTACCCAATGTCTAAAGCAATGTAAAGCGCTTGGAGGACACAGAGATTAAAACGAGTCTAAAAAAATGCTTCCCATGTAGAAAGAGGTATCAGACAATTACACAAATAACACTACTTTAAAGAAAAGCTGCAAGTTTCCATCAGATAATGACAAAAAGCTAGGCGAATTTAGAGAACAGAAACACCACTTCTTCCTGGAAGAAACGTGTCATAGAAGAGACGGCATTCAGTCGTGCTTTGACACCTGGGGAAGCATTACCGGATCAAAACATCCTCAGACAGGAAATTGACTGACTTTATCCATACAGACAGAGAAACCAGGTACAATGTTATACCAGGATTCTAAATGCTTTTTCAAATAACTTTAAAAAGATACACAGAGATTAAAATATTTTCCTACCTTGTTATAAAATAATAAAACATGCAGAACATTGCTAGGATTATGTTCTCATTGAGAAGTGCATCTTTTTTAACCAGAGGGAACTTAAGTAAAACTTCAAAATATCTATATTGTTTCCCAGACAATTCTTACCGCCATAACCTTCCAGTGAAACTGTAAATTCCTTGAGGGTAGAGCCCAGTATTTATTTCTTTCTGTCCCTGATCTTGCCAAGGACTTGTTAATAAAAATATTTTTTAAAAAGACCCCTACCTAAAACTTGTTACATAAAAAGTGTGAAAATGTCACCCCCAGGAACCTTAAACTCCTTATACTTCCCAGAACGCACCACATACTTGCACAATGCTTTGTCTGTATCCGTGTTATTCTCCTTCTTGCAACGTCCTTCAATCTGCCTGTCCCCAACTCCTGAAAACGTCTCCTCCAAGGCCGAGCCACATGTGACCTCCCCTCTGAGCACTTTCTGACTTGTCCAGGAAGAATGAATCTTTTCTTCCTCTCTAAGTGCTCTGTACATACTCCTCCTATAGGACAGTCACTACAGAAAAATAATGCTTACGTGTAATTATGATTGTGTGTGCGTGCGTGCGCACGCGCGTGCACGCATTAAGAGAGGCACCTATGAATAAGTCAATGCCTTGAGAGCAGGCATAGGATTTTTTTTTTTCCTGTATGCCCAGGACATAGGACAGAAAACACGGGGGGGGGGGATGCAATACAACATTAATCAAAGTCTCAGTAAATTATTTTTATCAATATCAACAAAATGATTCTAAAGTTTGTATGGAGAGGCAAAAGACACAGAAGAACTGACACAATATTGAGGAGAAAAACAAAGTTGAAGGAAAGACATTATGCAACTTCAAGACTAACTATAAAACTACACTAATCAAGACACTGTGTATTGGTACAAGCACACAAATAGAGTAATAAAAGAGCAAATAACCCAGAAACAGACTTCCATAAATATAATCATATGATCTTTGACAAAGGAGCAAACATAATACGATAGAGCAAAGATAGTCTCTTCAACAAATGCTGGTACAACTGGACGTCCACATGCCAGAGAAAAAAAAAGAATCTAGACACAGACCACTCTTCAAAAGACAATGTCAAGAGATTGAGGAGACAAGGCACAGACCAGAAGAAAAGATTTGCTGATGATGTCTGATAAAGGAATGTTATCCAAAATAAACAACTCTTAAATCTCAACAAGAAAACAAACAACAAATAAAGAATGGGCCAGAGACCTTACCAGACACCTCATCAAAGAAGAAATACAGGTGGCAAAGATGCTCAGTATGTCAACCACAAAATGGAAATTAAAGTGACAAGATACCATTACACACTTTAGAATGACCAAAATCTGAACCACTGACACCACCAAATGTTGACAAGGGCGTGGAGCAATGGGAACTCTCTTACACTGCTAAGAGGAATGCACAATGGTGCAGCCACTTCAAAAGACAGTTTGGCAGTCTCCTACAAAACGAAGCATACTCTTGCCAAATGATCCAACAATCATGTCCCTTGGTCTGTACCCAAAGAAGTTGAATACTTACGTCCACACACAAAAAACCTGCACACAGATGTCTATAGCAGATTTATTCATAATTGCCAAAACTCAGAAGCAAGCAAGATGCCCCTCAGTAGACAAAGGGATAAATAAACTATGGTACATTCAAACAATGGACTGTTATTCAGTACTAAAAAGAAATGCGGTATCAAGCTATGAAAAGACATGGAGGAACCTTAAATGCAAATTACTAAGGGAAAGAAGCCAATCTGAAATGGCTACATACTATAGGATGCCAACTATTCCAAATGTATGGCAAAAGGAAAAGGTGAAACTTATGGAGACAGTAAAAAGATTAGTGGTTGCTGATGGGGAGGAGGATGAATATAGGCAGAGCAGAGAAGTTTTAAGGAAATGAAAATATTCTGCATGACATTATAATGTTGGATATATGTCATTATACACTCATCCAAATCCATAAAACATTCAACACCAAGAGTGAATCCTAATGCAAATTATAGCTGACTCTTGAATAACACGGGTTTGAAACGCAAGGGTCCACTTACAGGCAGATTTTTTTCAATGGATGCATATTACAGTAGTATATGATCTGCAGTTTGTTGAATCCTAGAATGTGGAACTGCAGATATGGAGGGCCAACTGTAAAGTTATATGTGGATTTTTGATTGCATGGTGAGCCAGTGCCTCTTTTTTTAAAAAAAAAGGAAAATTAAGGGAAGAAAGGGTTATCACTATGACCATGTATTTCTCCCATGTTAGACTTCCTGAATTTAGAATAAATGGCTAAGTGTCAGAATTAGACCACAGCCATCTGCACATAAATGAAAATATTTGAAACCAAGGAAAACAGAGAGATAAAGAACTGCCTTCTATGAAGTCTTTTGACAAGAAATCTACTTCAAGTTCAAACAAGAAGTGTAAGAATCGTTGAAAGCTTGGGAGCTGTGTTCTCAGCAATTGCTAGTTTACTAATAACTTGGGATGCCACCAAATATTACGGAAACTGAATGCAAGTGAAGATGAGCATAAAATAAATGCACTTATACAACATATAAATGAATGAATGAATGAATGAATGGTGAATGCATATACTGGCCAAAAATGACCCATACAATACCCAGTCTGGACATGAAACGACTATAAAGGGGTGAAAAAATGTTTATTTTATAAATTAATTCAAAAGACACTGGCACCTATATCCCATTCAGGAATCAACAGGATGCTGGAGCATTTAAAATGGAGGACTATTTGGTACTGGCCAGAAGATTCTAGGCAAAATTTTGACACAGACCAGTATACATACAAGTAAGACAGCTACCCTCTTAGTCACAAAGCAGAAAAACAGAGGGCTTTCTCTGCAGGAGGAAGAAGAAATTGATTATCAATTACCATTCAAGTTAGAAATTAAAATCAAGTAAGGCTGACACACATTACAGCTGTAACCAGGGATCCCCACCAGACAAAAGATAAACACTTATAATGCAGGGCATCCTCTGAGGAACAAAAGGAAACATTTTAAAGGCCAATCATTATACAGGATGGGGAAACAACGAGAAGCCCAGCCACCAACCTCCTAACACTCTATACCTGAAACACAAAAGCACGGTCCTGACATCCATCACTCTCACAACCTACTTGGGGAGAGACACCAGCATACACGTTATCTTTAGTAAACGTTATGTGACAGTAAACAGGGACCACTGTGGCAGTATTTGGAAATAGTGAAGGGGAAGGAAGGGAAGGGGCCTCTGGGAGGATGTTACCTCTCACATAAGTCCTGAGAATTGGTCAGAATTAACCCACATGAGAAAAAGTGGGATGGAAAAACTACAAAAGCGAGTGTACTAGTATACAAGAAGGAACACTTTAGGAGTCAGAAAACCTAAGTTGTTTCCACAACCCTAACAGTGCAAAGTGTCTGTAAGGCAGTAAGAGCTAAGTAATAGTTATCATTACTATTATTATTTATAGATGCTGGCACATAACACACCTAGGCACTGTGCAGGGGATAGATAAATAATAGTGATAAAGTAACTACTAGTTACTTAGTCCTTCCCATGTGCTAAAGTGCTAGGGATAGCAGGATAAGTACAAGTTCTTGCCCCCAGGAAGCAGAGTCTACTGTAAGAGACTACTGGTAAGTATACAACAATGTTAGAGACGCTAAACTCAGGGCCCTGATTCATTCACAGTTAACGAGAGGAACCCAGGATTTAAACCCACATTTACCTAACTTAAAATTCTAAGAACCTAAACGAGAAAATAGTGTGGAAGGAGGAGTAAGTAATAGATAAGAGGTAAGAAAAGGACAGACAACTGTCCTCAAACCAAACTCCCTAATCCTCAGAATTACGCAAAGCCCGGAACTCCAACCGTATTGGAGAGCGAGGTGTGAAGAGGAACTCCTCAAAAACTGAGTCAGCAAGTGCGCGATTTGGCGTGGGATTATAATCTTCACTTGCCTTTCTGCCAACCCTTTGCTTTACCCACCCCAACCCCCACCGTCCTCAGGGAATCGAGAGAGCACCTTGGTGGGCGGGAACCGCTGCTCGCCCGGGCCCAGGCCCGGGGCGTTTGCCTCCCGCGAGTATCGGTGCGCGG